CTAATACTATGACCATTGTCAACATCATCATCATTACCATCAGATAGTACAGTGGTTATTACTAATACTATGACCATTGTCAACATCATCATCATTAATTCCCACTTTCACCATCATTACCAACATCATTACCGCTACCAACATCTTTACCATCATCATTACCATCATCAGATAGCCCTTACGTACCTACTGATATAAATAAAGTTAGTTTAGTTTAGGTTTCCTCCTGTGGTAACACTGGATCAATAAGAGATGACCCTTACTGGACCTCTAGGAAGAACAGTTTAGAACTGATAGAGCTATCCAGTATAAATAAAGTTAGTTTAGTTTAGGTTTTGTCCTGTAGTAACACTAAATCAATAAGAGATGATCCTTACTGGACCTCTAGGGAGAACAGTTTAGAACTGATAGAGCTATCCAGTATAAATAAAGTTAGTTTAGTTTAGGTTTCCTTCTGTAGTAACACTGGTTCAATAAGAGATGATCCTTACTGGACCTCTAGGAAGAACAATTTAGAACTGATAGAGCTATCCAGCTAGCCTTGGGTGAAATGATTAATCATATTTGCACCCTAACACCTCATGAAGAAGACTACCCTCATGAAGACTAATCAGATAGACAGTGGTTATTACTAATACTATGACCATTATCAACATCATCATCATTACCATCAGATAGCACAGTGGTTATTACTAATACTATGACCATTGTCAACATCATCATCATTACCATCAGATAGCACAGTGGTTATTACTAATACTATGACCATTGTCAACATCATCATCATTACCATCAGATAGCACAGTGGTTATTACTAATACTATGACCATTGTCAACATCATCATCATTACCATCAGATAGTACAGTGGTTATTACTAATACTATGACCATTGTCAACATCATCATCATTACCATCAGATAGCACAGTGGTTATTACTAATACTATGACCATTGTCAACATCATCATCATTACCATCAGATAACACAGTGGTTATTGCTAATACTATGACCATTGTCAACATCATCATCATTACCATCAGATAGCACAGTGGTTATTACTAATACTATGACCATTGTCAACATCATCATCATTACCATCAGATAGCACAGTGGTTATTACTAATACTATGACCATTGTCAACATCATCATCATTACCATCAGAAGTACAGTGGTATTACTAATACTATGACCATTGTCAACATCATCATCATTACCATCAGAGTACAGTGGTTATTACTAATACTATGACCATTGTCAACATCATCATTAATTCCCACTTTCACCATCATTACCAACATCATCACTGCTACCAACATCTTTACCATCATCATTACCATCATCATTACCACCACCAATCACCATCATTATTGCCATTATCACTATCATCATTACCATCATCATCACTACCATCATTACCACCATCCTCATTACCATCACCATCATTTCCACCATCACATTACCATCACCACCATTACCACCATCATCATTACCATCACTACCACCATCATCACTACCATCATTACCACCATCCTCATTACCACCATCCTCATTACCATAACCATCATTACCACCATCATCACTACCACCATCATCACTACCACCATCATCACTACCACCATCATCACTACCACCATCATCATTACCATCACTACCATCATCATTACTACCATCATTACTACCATCATCATCATCACTACCACCATCATCACTACCATCATTACTACCATCCTCATTACCATCACCATCATTACCAGTTTACCACCATCATCATTACCATCACTACCATCATCATCACTACCATCATTACTACCATCATCATCATCACTACCATCATGATCACCTACCATCATCACTACCATCATCATCACTACCATCATTACTACCATCATTACTACCATCATCATCATCACTACCATCATCATTACTACCATCATCATCATCACTACCATCATCATTACTACCATCATCATCATCACTACCATCATCATCACTACCATCATCACTACCATCATCATCACTACCATCATTACTACCATCATTACTACCATCATCATCATCACTACCACCATCATCATTACCATCACTACCACCATGGCCAAAACTCATTAACCGCACTCTTTCGACCACAGGTAATTTCAGGATACCACACAATGGCCTGTACCACATTTTGGTTAATCTGATTATTCGTCGTTACTCAGACATCGTGCTAAAGTTCAGCGTTATGATAAACAACCAAACTGAAGCGATCTCAAAAACAACAAAAATCGACTCCGAAGGGCTTAACACTGTTACACTGGAAGGCATTTTGGACCTTGCTGAAAACCAAATAATTTCAATAACGATATCAAACCCTGCTTCACACTACGCTTACGTACGTGTGTACTCCAGCTCGAGATTTTTTATATTTTCAAAAGGCACACTAGGTCATTCTATAGCAGCACTATCGACACATTACAACCCCAGTTCAACGAAGATGCCTGCGAACACATTTTCAAAGTTGAACAGCTGGGATATAAGCTCTCCACAAACCCTCAACCACTATAGCAATGTTCAGCTACAGCAAGGTGAATTTGTGGCTCCAATACCAGGATATTACCAAATAAACATCGCATTGTATCTTAGTAATTGTACCACAGCTGCAGCAAGGCTCTCCGTAAAGACTGACAACAGTTACGAAGCAATCGGTCCAGACATTAGTTTGACCAAAGAAAGCAATGACTGTTACCTTGAGAACTCCTTGCTATTACACTTGGACACGAATGACACACTAAGACTAGAAGTGAAATCTGATAAGAAGTATACTGTGCTTTCAAATACTTCGTATCAAGTTATCTTTCAAACCACGTACACTCTCTGGCCAGCAGCAATTTTTACACTACAACAACCGTTTCAGTTTAAAACCAATTCCGCACCAGTTAAGGTAAGGTTGATTATTAAATTAGACTTTAGGTTAATTAATTAGAACATCCATTAGAAGGGTTTTAATAACGAGCGGCAACCTACATAACTTGTGATTTGACTTGAAAACGCTCGTATTCTTGAATAATATATTTTAAAGACACGAATGAAATTTGCTGAGAAAAATAAACTTAAAGTTTATGTAAATGAGCAGATTTTGTAGCATTTTATACCCTTTATGGTCATACGATTTATTTTGTGTTTTTCTCTGAATATGTGTACTAATATGGGTAAAGCATAGCGAAAAATCTAAAAGTAATCTTTCTTGCTAAAGGTTTCCGATTGGTCGCATCATACAGAAGGCGACTGGAATGACATGTTCTTTAATGCGAGCAAGGACGAGATCCAAATCAAAACCCCTGGACTTTATCTCTTCTCCTACAACTTGGTAGTGAAAGCTACAGCAGGCGGTCAGTTTCATTCTGAAATTGTTGTAAGCGGCAACGCAGCTGGTGATGGTGGTTCCTGTCAGAGAGGCAATGCTCCACAGACGTTCACATGTACCACATCAACACTGTTGAATCTGATGGAAGAAGACAAGGTGGCTGTTCAAGTGTGGATGAATGATGGCACCAAGGCCAAACAGTCGTCGGTTCAAGTCTCCACCTCAAGCCGAATGACAGTTACATTACTCGGCGACACAAGGTCCCACCCCGTCTTCAAGTTAAACGTGCAACCACCCAAAACGGCTTACAGTACAAAGGCTAATTCAAAAGATACGAAAACACTAACTGACTTTACGTTCCCAAACACAAGCTTCTTCCAAAGCGGCGCTGTGTTTTCAAATGTGACGAAAACCTTCAACTCTGGAAAAGATATTGGTTTCCTCTTGCTCAATAATTTGCAGCTTAATTTACAGAATGATGGTTACTTAACTTCGGTAATCGGTTCTGAGGCTAACAATACGATGGTGTACAGTAAGGATCATAAGAAGTCCCACTTCTCCCTCCCTGCCTCAGATCTTACTCTTGATTCCCAGTTTTATTTCAATGTATCTGCAGAAGCAACAAAAACTGCTTTAAAATGGCAGCCTGAAAGTGGAAGTGTTGTATCAGGCGTTTATGTAGATAAAACGGAAAACATGACTTGTTTTAAAGCTCAATTGAAAGCGAACACTAAACTACAGTGTTCTAGCAAGTGGACACAAATTCCAGTAAAGCATTGGAATCTGAAGTTGCTTTTGAATGACATTGCAACTGTGACCAAAACTGGAATACAGATTGCCAAGAGTGGATTTTATTTAACATCCCTAAATTTTGCCGTGAAAGCCAACACAAGCAATACAGTTATAAATGTTAAGATCTCCTCTGCTCAACACCTCAATCTATCTGCAAGTGAAACAAGCCCTGCGGACGGTGTATTTAGTATATTTCTTCAAGCTATTCTCGAGGCAACAAGCGGGCAAAACGTTGATATTCAAGTGAAATGCCAGACGCCAACTGAAATCACGTATGCAAAAGGTGGCGGTCTTTTTGCTTTCAAAGTTGATGAACGTCGAACATCGCCTGGAATGCGCAAACGATTCACAGCTTATCATAGATATAGATATGGCCATTCGGACAGAATTGGGTCATTTTATCCGTATTATTCTTATGGTAATGGCAATTTTGAACAGTTTCGTCAAGATATCCAGAATAACAATTGGAAACTTACTGTAGCACGGAGTGGGCTGTATCTTATCACAGTTGTCGGTTATGTACGCACATATACATATTATTATGTTGATAATACCGACCATTTTGAACTTGGATTTTCAAGCCCAACTAGTATGAATGCAACTGGTGCTACTTGCTCTTTAGATTCATCACCACTCTATTTCAAAGATTCTGACACCAAGAACGATGAATCTCTTGCATTGACTGGCTTTGTTTCGTGGGACAAGAATGACATAGCTGGTTTTCTTGGTCGGTTTGGCTACTATAGCGTAAGTTACAGCTCGCGTTTTTACATGTCCATCCAGTTTGTTGGGGATAAAGACACATCTAGTGGTTTCACAGCGACTTTACAAAAAGATACGTCTTTGGCAAAAGGACAGAACCACCAACTCCCAAAACAATCTTGGACTTCTGACAAAAAGTGCGGACAGTATACAACAAAAGATGCCGCTCAATTTGAGAAGTTCAAAGTGTCGTACACGGGGTATTATGTGGTGGCCATGAACCTGGTATTGAACCATGGAGATGGCTGTGACTTTGGCTTCTGTTTCACTGTTGGTGGAAAGCTTATCAAAGGTGGTGTGAAAGGTTCAAATGTTGGATGTTTTAAACAGCATTTGCGAAGTGAAAACCAAACTAGCACATCTACAGTCAGTAATGCGGAACTTCTGTACCTCAAGGCAGGGCAGGTATTATCGGTTCAGTTGAGTACAAACCTTGAATTAACCATTTCCAAGAAATCTAGTTTCTCGGTCTTTTATCTCGGAACTGCAGGAGCTATGCTAGGATTTTCATCGCTAATAAATACAGCAATAAAACGACCATTGCCAAGTTACCGTTCAAGATATTATCATTATCATTATTATTATCACTACCACGACAATGACAACGACTACGCACAGTACGTTGTCGCAGGATGGGACACGACAATTATGGGCTTTCAAAATGGGATAAAGTCTTCTGTGAATGATACATTTGTGTGTTCGCAAGATGGCGTTTATATGGTGATGGCAAAGTTGCACGTTAAAGCGCAGATTCAAATGAACCAGACGTGTAAAGTAAAGCTTCAACTAGCCGTAGATGGCGAGGTTTTGGATTTTGCTTTCAAGAGAGATGTTGGGGTTTCTGCAAATACTTTATCTTTTACAACCACGCTGAGGTTGGAGAAATGGCAAGGGCTTACAGTGAGGTTAAGTTCGAAGCTTACAACGTGTACGAGTGTGGATATTGAAGCTGGAAGTTCATTCTCTGTTGTTTATTTAGGTAAGGGTGAAGTTTGTGTCCAGGAGGGAATAGGGGGGGAGATAGGGAAGGGAGAGGGAAAGGAGAGACATGAGGAAGACAGGAATGGAAGAGAAAGAGAGGAGCGGAGGGAGAGATGGATTGGGGGAGGAGGGAGGGGGCGAAAAGAAAGGAGGTGGGTGAGGAAAGGTGGGTGGGGAGGAAGAGATGGATAGGGGGAGTGCGGATGGACAGGGGGAGGAAAGAAAGAAGGAGGTGCGTGGGGAGAGGTGGTTGTGGGCAAGAGATGGATAGGG